GGGGGGACTACAAGCCCCGGCATGCCCTGGTTTAGGTCTGTAGGATGTGGTCAGCCCTGTGAATGCAAACTCCATGTTTTAATGTTTCCTCCCCCTTCCTGGTAACAAAGGGTTCCTGGAATTCCTGTGTCACCAGCCAGCTTTGTAAGCATTTTTATTTCCCAGGGTTGGCTTCAGATGTTGCAGGTTGGAGACAGTGGGGAGAATGTGCATTTTGGCATTGAACATCGATCTCGTGTAGCTTACTCTCCTAGCTTTAGTTTTCTCTTTTGTAAGCAATCTACCTCACAGGATCAATGCAGATATTAAGTAAAATAATTTTTGCAAAATGGCCTGCACAGTGTCTGGGCATTAGGAGGTGCCCAGGAAAAAGTGGCTCATTTCAGAAATATTGTCTCAGAAATCATACAGCATTTTGCTGTGAGATTATTACTATCACTACCATTTGGTCATTTCTTTTCTATCAGACAGAATAGGCTAGGATATGCTGTGATAACAAACAGTCTTAGAGATTTAATACAATTAAAGTTCATTTCTTGACCATGTCCAGAGCCCAACAGGAGAGGACTCTATCCAGCAGCTACACAAAGACATAGACCAGTGGAGACTTCATGTCCACACATGCTTCCAAAGTCATCACCGTATCTGATATAGCAATCAAATATTGCATCTGAAAGTGGCATGTCAGTTTCACTCACAGTGCATTGGCAAAAGAGAATCATGTGGTCACACACCCAACTTAAAGAGGGGTTGGGGAAGTGATATTGTATAACATAACAGCAGGAGAACTTGAATATTTGTGGAACAACTGTAATGACTATCACCTCTATTAAAGATCAAAAGGAAGATGGACAAGAGTACTTTTAAAGAACTGTTAGGGGCGCCTGGGTGGCGCAGTCGGTTAAGCGTCCGACTTCAGCCAGGTCACGATCTCGCGGTCCGTGAGTTCGAGCCCCCCGTCAGGCTCTGGGCTGATGGCTCAGAGCCTGGAGCCTGTTTCCGATTCTGTGTCTTCCTCTTTCTCTGCCCCTCCCCCGTTCATGCTCTGTCTCTCTCTGTCCCAAAAATAAATAAACGTTGAAAAAAAAAAAATTAAAAAAAAAAAAAAAAAGAAGAACTGTTAATTAAACATAGATAAATAAAAAATGTCTGAATGGTAAAATTCAAAGCAAATCAATTCGAATTCAGTTGCAACAAACAGAAAACCTATGTAGTTCTAGGGTCATCTGAGGCTTGGGATTATTTTTTTGTTCTGCTATAACAGCCTAGCATGAGGCTTCAATTCTTAAATTCACTTTAGGGTCAGAAATTGCTGCAGAGTTCTGGCCATCACATCTGCATTCCAGGCAACTGGAAGGAAGAAGGTGGAAGACAAAAGAGCCTTTCTCTCAGCTAAGTCAGCTCCATTTAAGCAGCCCATCTGAAAGTCCTTCACAATAGTTCTGCTTACATATCATTGGCCAGAAACTAGTCACATATTCTCTCCTAGGCTTAATGGAGCTAGGGCATACAGTTTTTGACTTGGATGCATTGGTCTCCCAAATAAAATTGGGATTTTTTGCTACCAAGGAACAATGGGAGAATGGACATTAGGCGGCACTGAGCAGTCCCTGCCACTGTAAGTTAAGATGCAAGCTTCTGTTAAGTGGGAATGGGAAGGGAAAGATCGCTCTATACCCTATCATTTTCCACCCTGTGCTACCCAGAACACCAGTGCTTAGAAAGACACAAAATTCCTTTAAAAAATGTTCTATAGCCAGACAGGTTTAGGAAAGAAGGAAAGCTTTGCCTTTGTCTCTTGGAGACTCATAGGGAACATTAACACATTAAAGGCTCTGGAGAGGCCACACAGTAAAGAATGACCTAAATTGCTAATCTTTTAAACTCAGTGTTCCCAGACTTACTTGACAATGGAAATCTAACATCTTTGGAAGCCCGGAGGGATGGAGAAATTTAGCTTTTTTTCCTTGAGTCTGCCAAAAAACTTTTTAGATCCTTGAACAAATGGTATAGAACCCCCCCATTCAAAAATTACCTGCCTTGTTAAACAAACATAAACAAACAAACAAACCTGAATATTCTTTCTGCTAGCCTAGCCACAGGGACAAAAACCTGGAAGAAAAAAAAATAGCTCAGATGCCAACGAAGCCCTGTTACAATAATCTGTGCAAGAGTTGGTATTAACTAACCAGCCATCTGTACCATTAGTGATGACACCAAGTGATGACTGGAACGGCTCATACCATCATTCGCCAGTTGGCAGGCCCCCGTCCCAGGTACATGTTCATGGACTCTTGTCTGTTCCTACCTGGCTATTGGCCATCCCGCTCCTCTCTCGAAGCAGGAGAGTAATAGGGAATCCAACCAACCAGTATTAACCTCCTCACCCTTTAGAGAAGGTCTGTTGTCAATGACATGGTTGCCTGCTGGTGTTGGGAAAAGTGTTGAAGATGCTATCAAGCAAATATAAATGTCATTGGTCTGTTGTAAGCAGGTGGGAGATGAGTACCTTTGGGGGAAGGGTTCAGGCTCTTCTTCCCAAAATGGAACCTTGGGTAGTTTCCTAATATTTCTTACTTGATGATTTAGGTAATCAGTTCTTGTCTTTAAACTCCATGTGCTGCAAATGCTATTCTTTTTCTTCATATAAGCGTCTTTAAAAAGGCAAAATGCCCGAATCTTTGCTAGCCTGGTTCCCATCATTTCAACCTCGTGTTGCTGCAAATACTGGAAAGTTACTCTGTCCTGACAGGCCTAGAGTGTTCTCATGTTTGCATATCTCTGTATACTGAATGATACATTTTCCCAAATAGCTGTATAATCTCTGGGACAACCTGATGATGGGAGGGAAGGGACCAGGATAGTGGCCTTTATGTACAAATTGGCCTTTAGAGCAACTTATCATGTTTGAGCTTGAACAGACTGTGGGAGAGTTGGGGAAAGTTCTGGAAGGTGGAGATCCCATCCCTGTCTAAAATCTGCCTTTTGGCTTAGTATCCTGGAGAAATTTCTCAGTCCGCTTTATGGAGTTAGTATGCCTTTCCCTGACAGTGGGTGAGTCGGAAATAGTCCCTGAACAGAGCAATGGGCTTTGTGCATTGTACATGTGCACAGCCTACTTTGTTGGCATGGCTCAGGATCTGTGTGTGGGCCAGGAAGTGTGAGAAGGGCTGGCTGGTGAATCTCAACAGTAGACAAGGGATTAAAGTAGCCAGTCTACCAAAATCAGAATAAATATCCAAGTTAATGGTATAAGTTCTTCTTTGATTGTTCTCTTTTTAATTTTATGTTCCTAATTATACATGCCCATTTTTTCTAATGTAAGCCATAAAATAACAATAAGCTTATGTAGAATTATTTGTTTTCTGCTCTAAGGAGATAATTTGGAACTAAGCTAAATATGAGTATGACTATGTAAAATCTGTGAACTGAGAAAAATACATTTGGAAAAATTCAATGATCTCTTATGCTGATATGTACCTATGTACATATCACCAAATTGACTATCTCAGGGATACCAAATTGGCAAATGCGTGATATATAATATTATATCATTCCCCGGGCATGATTTAGATTCACTTCTCAACCCAAATGCCTGGAATTTACAACTGAATGCAAGCACTACCTATCCTCCCCACACTCCTGCTCTCCTCCCTGCCAGACACTGTTTGAAAGCGAGTGATTTCTTTCCTTTCCTCAGAGGATTTTATTGACTGGAAGAAAAGACTAGAAGTCTAAAGGACTTGGGGTCCTTGTTCTAACTCTGCCACTAACTAGGTGATACGTTGGACATTCCACGTAAACTCTCTTGTTGGAAAAACCTATCATTGTATGAGTATATCGGAACTATCTATCTGGGTCTTTGCTCTTCTGTAAAATGAGGAGAGGGATTTATTGACAAGATCTCAGAGATCCCTGCTCCTGAATGTCAGAGATCTTACTGTCTTGTGGCTCTTGGTGGTAGGACTTTCTTTCTTCAGCTAGCAGATATTTTCTGAGTGTCTATAATGTCCCAGTCACTGATCTGAGTACTGGGGAGATTGCAGTGAACAGAACCAGTAGAAGTCATTCCTTCTTGGAGTTTGTATTCTGAGATAAAGAATTATTAGCCAACACTGTTGAGTACTTACAACACACCAGACATTGCTCTAAATATTTTATGTATGTTAATTATTTTGTTAGAATCCCATTTAGTGGACATACTATAATCACTATTTTACAATTGAGGAACCTGAGGCACAGAGAGATTTAAATAATATACTCAAGGTCACTTAGCTAGTAAATGGTGAAGCTGGGATCAGAATCAGGATTCCTGGCTATAGGGTCTGTGGCCTTAACTAGCTTGGTATACTGCCTCTCACTGTCAATTGATTAACTTAAAATAACCAGTATTCATCTTAGCTGATGGCAAAATCAGAAAAAAAAAAAGAAAAGAAAGAAAAGAAAAGAAAAGAAAAGAAAAGAAAAGAAAAGAAAAGAAAAGAAAAGAAAAGAAAAAAAAAAAGAAAAGAAAGGAAACTGTAGCTTTGGATAGAATCTGAGAGCCCGCTTGGTTTCCCCCTCTGGAACTGCAGGCTCGAGTGGGAAGGCAGGGACACTGAGCAACCACTGGCATATTTTACTTCTAGTCCCAAGTCGCTTGGCTGATTGCACTACCTGGTTGGAGGTCACTGGCCCTTCTCTGGCTCCATTGTTAAACTGCAAGGTCTTCACCATCCCTGTAATTACAAGTTAGTTTCAACATTGGCCATTTGTAGAAAAGTGAGTAATGACAGACTTTCATTCAAAATATTGGATTTGACTCCCACCTCTACTACTAACCAATGCTATCACCTTGGACAATGTTTACTAATACCAGCAGCAATGGCAATAGTAGCAGTGGCTTTTATTTATTACTGTGCTTTGTGCGAAATTCTTTATATATGTTGTTTCTGGTGCTCAGAACAGTCCTCAGAAGAGGTGTATTTATCCTCACTTTACAGCCTGGTCTTGGCTGCTGTCTCTACCACATAGTATTTAACCTTGGGTAAGTTGTTTAATTCCTTGAAGCCTTAGTTTCATCATCTGAAAATTGGGGTTAGTAATATGTACTCCTCATGGAGTTGTAAGGATTAAAGATGAAAAAATATATGAAGCATTTAGGCCATTGTCTATTTCAGAGACAGTAATAATGACCATTACAGCTTCAGGTCTCACAGGTATTGCTCTGAGGAAGCAGGTTTCAGATCTAATTTTAAAGGCTGCCTTTATGAGGACAGGCTGGAGCTATAGAGTCTCTAGTGAAGCAGGTGAGTTGGAGCAGGATGCATGGGAAGCTGTTTCACTACCAATGGTTGCTTAGTAGCAGGTGGAACTAAACAGGTAGCAAACCAAATAGAAGGTGGAGAGGTTCTGGACTCCTTGTCCTGTGGGCTAGAAGCCACCATCATCAAGGATGGTGTTGCTTGATGCTTAGCTAGGACCATGTCCTGACCCTGCCAGGAGCTAGTACTGGTAAAAAGAAGAGCAATACCACCTAGCTAGGCTCAACTGTGTGGGGCAGATGGTGTCCTGGAGTCAGCCCACAGTCAGTACCACCCTTTCCAAAGGACGACACTGGACAAGTGGGGCTGGGGAGGTGTTCAGCACGTTCACATTCAGGACACAGCCTTGCCAGGAAGGCAGGCCAAGTGGGATTCTCCCATTTTACAGTGGGAAAACCAGAATACAAGAGGTCAAATAACACTAGCAAGGAGTGGAATCCTAAATTGAACCCTAGCTTTTTTGCATCAGTTGATAGGTCTGCATAATTTAATTTGTTCTGCACAAATGATCAAATGAGAAAATTCAGCAGTCATTGTTCTATATCTAAGTTTATTTATTTTGAGTTCATATTATATATCATATA